ATGGTACTGTTCATGCTTTTATCATTTTTTAATTTTTGCCCAAAATGAAAAAAATTATTTACGTCAGACAAAATTATTATTTTTTCAATTTGAAATCTTATTAGAATTATTTATTTTTACAATTGTTTGTCTGTTGGGCTTTCTGTGTGCCTGAACACATGCCATGGAAGAGACATTGCAGAGCCAAAACATAGACATGGGAACAACCCAGTTACCAGCGTTTAGCGATCTTATATTATGGAATAAACATTTAACTGAAAAAAAAATCGAGTTGAAATTGCTCTTCTCTGTCCCTTAATCTACAGTAGTATATAAACCTTCTTTTCTTTTATTTTCAGATACTACTATGATAAAAATATTATGACGAAAGTGCATGGTAAGCGATACGCGTACAAGTTCGATTTCCATGGCCTTATGATAGCGTGCCAATCACAAGCACAGGGTTGTGATGCATCCTCTACCATTGGTATGCTTGGAGCGTACAAAGTTCCTCACCACCAACATCATCCTCCATATCCTGCTCAGCAATCCCACATACACCCCTCCACATCCAATACACAAGTACATATACATGCTACCCCATCAAGTACGCACGTTGACCACACAACATCCTCCCCACCTGGATCCAGCATGGGGTTTTCCCCGTCGACTGCCGAAGTCATAACAACACATACTGTGCCAAATACGTTAACGGGATTTGTTCATCCCAATCGGACATTGGAGGAGACAGAATCCCCCGATACGCCGTCCTCGCCACCAGTACCTCCGGTCCCGTCTCTGAATTCTCGAAGTCCATACTGGTCTTACTGCAGCTCTAGTTTCGAGCCTCGATCGCCGCAAACGGATACATTTCATTAGGCAAAACCAATTTAAAAATCTCTTTTTCTCGCCATATTCCTTCCAAGTGAATAGATTACCATCATTGTCCCCAAAAAGAACCACCCGTTGCGTGGGCAGCCCAAAGCGCCCTTAAAGTTAATTTGACAATTATGTGTGATAAGATATAACTAGGTAATAATCAAACTAGTTAAAGGGTACTATGTGTGCCGCCCCATCAAGTTTATGCAAGTGTAAGAAGCTAGGGGGGCACACCAACTGGATGTTATTTCGTGTACATACAGCATTTGGCAAATTATTTTTTAGTATTTCGGTTATGCATAAGTTGTTAGACAATTTGTAGAAATAAACTTTATGAAATTGTACTGCAAGAACTAATCATCGGTACTTGTCTCTAATAAATAAATCGCATACATCCCTAAAAATAAACCTTTACTTGGCCTGTTTTATTATTTGAGGAAGGCGGAAGGAGACCCATTTATAACTGAAGCGCAGCTGCAAAAGTTTTTTTCAGAAAAAAAGAAATCGACATCATCTAAAGAACACAAAATGGAATGCGAAGTAGCATTTCAATAAAAAAAGGATAACAAATTCAGTTTTGTATAAACAATTAACATTAAAATAAATAAATAAAAATGAACGTAGATTTTCTAAAATACGGCTATTTATTCATATTATTGTGTAAACGTTCTCATTCAAAAATAAAAATTCTATACTTAATGAGAATAATCTCACATGCACAGCACATTGTGGTGGGAGACTAAAAACGAGCCGTGACCTGTAGTTTTAGTACATGTTTTTATTACACATTTTGAGTAATTCATTAACAATTTTGGTTTACAACAGTTGGAGTAATTTCTTACTTTTGTTAAAGTTTACCTCACTAAAACATCCTTCCCTTGATTCTTTTTACGAGTTTAGGCAAAATTGGAAAAGCCGAAGCTGAATCCCCACGTTTTACAGTTTAACTCTTTAAGATTGGATTCTAAAAATTGCCCATCAGTATCTAAAATTATTCAAAACTATATGCAACAGCATCTTCTCATTTATTCGAAAGTATGACCTAAACTGTGTTAATTCCATTGCAAAACTGGAAAAATAAATACATACATAAATTGGCAGAAGTCGTAATCAGCTGGTAGTTTTACCTTACCTGAACAACATTTAAACAATTTCAACATTTGTTTGCAAAATTTCATCTCAATCGGATAGTAAATGTGACCTGCATTGTGCTCACAAGAATACATGGACGGACGAACGGACTGACATGCATAAATCGATTTTATGAAGATCCTCAAAAGTAACTATGCGTCTACTTCGCATCCTTCTCCATGTAACAAACAAATGCACAAATACGTAATACCCTTACCACTATGTGGTGTAAGGTATAATAACCAATTATCATCAAATTTTAAAATATTCACATAAAAACAATATAAATTTAAGGCAAGTAAAAAACATTAAGTTCGGTCGGGCCGATCTTTTATTGCTCTCTACCATTGGGTGAAGAAAACATGTTTATATAAAAGTATCTGGATTCAAACCTGTTAACTTCATGTAGTCTAAAGTGGGACATTTTTGAATGCAGATACTTTTATATAAACATGTTTTCTTTACCCAATGGTGTTAATTGTGACCTGCATTTTGGTACATCCCACCGAATTTTGTCTAAAAGCAGGTCAATCAAAATTGGAGAAAATCGATTCAGATACAGCTATAGCTACCACATATGTGTTTCATCCGATTTTGGGTTTTATGTCCGTCACATGCGTAATATGAGTTCCACAACAATGATCTCTGGTACCAACAATGATCTCTGGTCCCCAAGTTATATCATGCACTCTATATATATATATATATATATATATATATATATATATATATATATATATATATACTTGTTTAATTTAATCCGTCCCCAAGTTATATCATGCACTCTATAGCAAACTATAACTGCTCTAAAGCCAAATGTTGATAGGTGGTATGATCTACTTGAAATAAATTCTTTTGTTACGTTAGCTTTGCATAGTGGTGTAGGGTATCATATAGTCGGCACGCCCGACTTTTCCTAACTGGGTTTTCTTTAGTTTTGCTTTTATTAGACAAATCGCGCTTCGCAATAAAAAAATATTCCCAAATCGAAGGTGTCGGTTTCAGGTATTATTTATGCTTTTTAGGACGCATACCAATTTTTCCTTTTTTTGGGATTTGGAGTATTGCACGGTTAGTAAAAAATCTATTTCTGAAATTTTTGTTTAGGGTATTAAAAGTTCGGCCCGGACGAACTTAATGTTTTTTTTACTTGTTGTTATAAAAGCTTTGTATCACAAATAGTCCTAGTATGGATAACGATATGATCGATGCAAAACGGGACTACAATACTATGTGTTGTGGGTATTACAAGTTTGATTGGGCCAAAAATTATGTAACACCTCGAAATAATGGTTTGCCACATAGGAAAGTATATATGGATCTTCCTATCTCGTCGAGCTGAGTCGATCTTCCTATGTATGTCCGTCCGTTCGTCTGTCCGTCTGTCCATGTTAATTTGTAATCACTCTACAGGTCGCAATTATGGTCCGATCTTTATGGAGGTGGGGTTAAGGTCAGAATAGAACCCTATTTCTTTTGGAGATGATCGCATAATATTTAGGGGTCGAAATGGACCAAAAACTGAAAAAATCCTGATTTTGCAGTTGCTCTACAGGTCGAAATTATGGGCCAATCGACGCGGAAATTAGCATGGGGCTAGAGCTCAAGGCTGGGCAGAAACCTTCCAATTTTGATGGTCACCGGGTAATTTGTAGTGGGTGAAATAGACCATAACATTTGTGTTAAATAAAAGTCAAATTTTTCATTACACCGCCAATATTTTTAGTCCCGGCGAAATCACAAATAGACGAACAGGTCAATTCTGACCGTTACGTAGATGCCGATAGTAAATATATCGAATATATATAGCGAAATATATACAATGTGTATAAACAAAGGAAGGGGATGTTAGCTAAAATGCTTATATCTCAAGAATGGCTGGACCGACAAATTTTGTAAATTCTGAATGTCCTCCTGGCACAAAAGAATAAAATCTAAAAAAATCGCATAAAAAGATGCCAATAATGATGTTAATATAGATTTTGTAGTATTTTGTGACATATTTTTATTTATTCATATTTTTATCGCATGCGATTTTTTCAAATTGACTTATAATATTGAGTTGTACATTTTGTAATATTTTTTCACCTTACAACACAGGTTGGGGCTATTATATACAGATTGCAATTATCGTCCGATCCTCACGAAAATTTGCACAAGGGTAGGGTAAGGCTTAGAAGTGCTAGGCCTATTGTTTTCAAAAGTGCCCGCTATATATTTTGGGGTTGAAATGGACCAACAACTAAAGTTGTTCCTGATTTTGCAACCGTTATAAAGGTCAGAAAATCTCGCTTGAAGTTAGAGTTTAGGACGGCGTGTGGAATGGACCACTATTTTTGTGTGAAAAGATGCCAACATTACTTATAGGCGTTATCCGAAGTACACAAAATGCGAACTTCTGGCTTTATGCTGATTTCATTGACGAATATAGCCCAAGCAAATCAAAGCAAAAGCATATCTTATAGATGAGTCTAAATTTGGTATGCAGAGAGGACTCTTACTTTTGGAGATGATCGCAAAATATTTAGGGGTTCAAATGAACCAAAAATAGAAAAAAATTCCTTATCAAACAATTGAAGCCAATAAACACGCCTAAGAAGAGAGTTAAAGACAGGGAAAAAGTCTAGCATTTTGGATGACCATTGGATTATATGTAGCTGTAAAATGGAACACAGCAACTAACAGCACGATGAAGTACGTAAATATTGGGCAAATATTCCCGGTCAAAATGCTAAGGGTAATATGTGGGCAGTGCTCCGTGACATAATTTCAAAAGCGAAATCTTCCAAAATGGATTTGGACATAAGGGGTCTTCTAATATATTGTAGTGTTGTAGGGTATCACATGGTTTGCAAAATATTATACGACATAATGTATGTGTGCATGAAATGACTGCAATATAGTTTGGAAAATACGTGATAATTTATTGATTACTAGTGTGAGGCTCCCTATTGCAGCTTGTTAGACAATTACTTCAATTGGATTACAGAGAAAGCTACACATAGGAATCTGGAATTCTAATGTTGTTTTTATAAATCTGAATTAAACGCGAAGAGCAGTGTGTCTTAAATGGGTAGTCAGCGGCAGTTGCTTGTCTTAGTTATTGGATGAAGGCAGTCGTGTTCACGTTGTGCCAAAGAGTGTCGGTTAAAATAATGCTGGCTCTGTCGATTTGTTTTGCTTTCGCGGGAGTTATAGCATCTGCAAGTGGAGCAGATCATGGTAGGCATTCACATGTAAATTATGGTTGTTGTAACACCTAATTTCTTTTTATAGTTTCAACGGGCGATATGGATAGGGATTTGCTCAAGAAAACGTTACTGGCGAACTACCATCCCTCCTCGAGACCAGTACAAGGATTGAATGAGACTGTGATGCTTTTTGTCAACATCGAAATGCAGCACTTCGACTTTTTGGAAAAAAATGGAGCATTTCATTTGGTTGGATTGTTGCACGTCGTAAGTCAATAACAAAAAAACATACTTTTGCCATTTTGTATCCGCGTTCACATTTCAATAACCAAAATTAATGCGAGTGAGCCAAAGGGTTTTTCTAAGATCTGGGTCTGGTTTCTTGTTCTATAAAAATATGAAATGAAAAATATTTTTTATTTGGTTTTCTTTTATAAATGTTTTCATTTATAGAACAAGAATTGAGGACCTGGTCTCCGTCTTAAGGAACTTTGCTAGGAAACTGGGTTAATCTTGATGGAAAAGCAAGTAATACAACTCTTTGGAAGCAAATATGAAAATAAACAGTAAGACTATTTATGTTCTTAAGAAAAAGTTGGTAGAGATGTAAAAATAAAAACAAAATGAGTTCTGTCCAAGTTGAATTTCCACGTATTTTGGTAACAATTACATAAATACATGGAGGACGGCTTCATTGGATATAAGATTGTTGCTAATTTATTGGTGAAGTGTGACATGAAAAAAGATTATGGCTCATTCATTCGACCCTGGTTGAAAGGCGTCAGTTGTATTACAGTTTTAAAAAACATGTATCACGTAGTTACCTATTTATGTAATACTAGCTGAACCCGGTGCGCTTCGCTACCCCTTTTGATTTTATATGCATTCAAAATTTTATTTTAGAACATATGTTGGATAAAGAAAAACAAATTTAAAAATTAAAAAAAAATATTGCACTAATTTAATGCGTTAATAAACAAAATCATTACAAAAGCAGTAACATGACATGCATACACGAAGGATTTGTCCTTTGGATTTATTTATTTCATAGCAAATACCATGCAGGAAACTGCAATTTTTTTAAGTAGAGTGGCATTTCTATTGCAATTAGTGAATTCGAGATAGCAACATACTTCGCCGTAATAAGCGTATTTCAAATAAATTGTTGTGTTGTTTTTTAGTGTTAGCCTAAGGCGTTGTGGGTCAATGGTTCTTATCAAAATCATATCCCAATCTGATCCGATTTAAATATAATTTTAAAAAAATTACTTTTACGCCAAACTCCGCCACACCTTTCAAATTTATTTTTGTACCAAATTTAGCCACTCATGCCGAATTTCGTTGGAATCGGAAATACGTATCGTGTTTTGTGCATCAAATATGTGAAATTGGCGGAAAATATGTATGGGAGCTATATCCAAATCTGAACCGATTTTAATATAATTTGACTAATTTATTTTCTAATCAAAATCCCGTTACATATTCCAAATTTCTTTGGAATCGAACATACATATCGTATATGGTGCATAAAATACATGAAATCGGTCGAAAATATATATGGGAGCTATATCCAAATCTGAACCGATTTCAATTTAATTTGACAAATTCATTTTGGCTCCCAATTCCGTTACTTATTTTAAATTTCATTACAATTGGAAATACATGTCGTGTTTGGTCCACCAAATACATGAAATCGGCCGAAAATGTATATGGGAGCTATATCGAAATCTGAACCGATTTCAATATAATTTGGGAAATCAATTTTTTAGATAAAATCTATCACACGTTTCAAATTTCATTGAAATTGGGGATACATAGCGTGTTTGGTGCATCAAATGCTTGAAATCGGCCGAAAATATATATGGGAGCTATATCCAAATCTAAACCGTTTTCAATATAATTTGACAAATTTATTTTCGGATTAAATCCCGTCACACATTCCAAATTTCATTGGAATCGAACATTCATATTGTGTTTGAGGCATCAAATGAACGAAATCGGTCGAAAATATATATGGGAGCTATATCCAAATCTGAACCGATTACAATATAATTTGGCAAACTTATTTTTGTTCCAAATTCCGTTACGTATTCCAAGTTTGGAGACTGTATCTTCAACCAATCAATAGATATGTGCATATAAAATTTAAATTTTTGGGAGGTACCTCCGATTCTGATGCTATATCTCCAGTTCCAAGTGGAAATTCAAAAAAAAAATGTATATCAAAATCATATCCCAATCTGATCCGATTTAAATATAATTTTAAAAAAATTACTTTTACGCCAAACTCCGCCACACCTTTCAAATTTATTTTTGTACCAAATTTAGCCACTCATGCCGAATTTCGTTGGAATCGGAAATACGTATCGTGTTTTGTGCATCAAATATGTGAAATTGGCGTGCATCAAATATGCGAATGGCGTGTAAAAGTTTTGTATACCCTTCATAATAGAGAGGGTAGAAGACATAGTACAATTTTTAACACAGGGATATCTTGAAACAAGTCTACTAGTTCTTCTTTTAATTTACGTTCTAAATACATTTGAATTATTTCATTCATTTCCCCAGAGATGGCGCGATCCAAAATTGGTGTGGAATCCTAGCGATTACGGCAATATCACATATATCACTGTTAACCAGCGGCACATTTGGATACCTGATTTGGAGTTCTACAATAACGCCCCCAATAAATTCATACGAATGCACCGCAATGGGTTTGTGTCGGTAAAACAGAATGGAGTGGTGTTTTGGAGCGATGCTATTGATGTTAACATATTCTGCACAAAAGATATGACGTTTTGGCCGCACGATAGGCATGAGTGTCACTTGGTTTTGGGCTCGTGGACGTTCGACGGATTCGAAGTGGACATAATGCACGTGAATGCAAACGAAAGCATGAGCTTTACCAACGTAAATAGACAAAATATGGAATACAAAGTAATGGGGTACAATGCATCGCACGTTGCCAAATATTACCCCTGCTGCCTTTACCCGTATACGTCAGTGGACTATAATATCACGTTTCAAAGGGAGTCGTCTTACGCGGTAATTTTTCGCTGTCCAGCTATTTCAATTGCGGCATTCACAATTTTTAGCTTGTGTTTGGAACCAACACGCACCGAAACATTTTGGATCAACGCGATAAGTTTGTGGCTAGCATCGGGGGAATTAATTTATTTTTCTTTTAATGGACAACACTTTTCCAGAGGAGCGCCCAACATAGGTAAACCCTATTTAGTTTTAACCCTATATATAGATGTAGAACTCATGTACATATATATATGTTCTATTTGTCGGACGGTCAAAGATCGTTATGGAAATTAAATCAAAAATGTATCTTGGATTTACACTAAAAATTGTGAACTTGGACTCGCTTTTCGAGGAGGAACACTGTATCTCGACAACCTCCAAACACGTTTATTTTTATACCTGCTCATATTTTACCAAGAAATGACCAATGAAATACCTTCATTTTCGATTTCCTTATCATACCCACTAAAAATTTGGTCGCAAAGGTCCATACTCCCTGAAGAACAAAGTAATGACAACTCATTTCCGCCTGCATTACAGGAGAGTAGTATTAAATTACTGTAATTACTTCCTATGACATTGTCAGGTTAAAATAATGCTAATGTTGATTAAATCATTATCAAAAATGTGAAAACTCTAAACCGATGTAATGGTAGGCGACGACTAGGGCTGTATTTTGGTACATGCCTTCCAATTTTTCGAAACATATGTGATACTCTGGACAAATATCTTTGGGGGGAGGTAAATGCATCCAACATGTTGCGATACAATCGATGGTATCGACATTTTAAAATATTAATTTTGGAACTATTTAATAAAATTACATCTCTTTTTTCAAATAATTGAATATTGTGCTACTATTCGTCTAATAAATTTGTTTCCTTTTTTAATTTTCAGTAATTTTTTTTGGCGTTAGTTTCGTAATGGTAACCATGTCACAGTTAGTGGCTGTCTTTTCCATTTTCGCCAACCGATCAACTTTTAAAACAAATGCGCCATTGCCTGCCCGTTTTAGTCGATGGTTGAATTCTCCCTTCGTACTGCGATTGCTATCTAAAAAGTCTGGATCCAATATGGCTGAAAGCTGCAAAAATAACTGTTCAAAAACTGACGACATATCTCATTTAATAGATAAATGTAACTCATCGAACGATTGGCAACTACTCGCAAATCTCCTGCAACGATCCACTTGCTTTTCCTTTTCTTTAATCTATTTGATATTGTTTTCTATTTACTTTGTGTAGAGTAACCGTTTGTTTAATAAATATTCAAACAATTCACAGATGTTGGTAAAAAATAAATAAATAAATCTTTCGATAAGCCAATATTTGAGTAGTAGAATTTTCACAAATGTAGCAGAGTAGTTCAAAACAGTTTAAATATTTAGTCTTTTTTTATGTTACTTACATATTTTACCTCATTGTAACCCATATGGTCATTGGGCTTGATCATTTGAAGTTTAGAGTGGAAAGGTGACCCATATATTCCATGTTCACACCTACTCTAACATAGAAAAAAATATTGGAATGTGCGAAGTTTGATTTTACATTTAAGAGAGTTATTATTATTAATCAAAATACTAAAAACATTTATAGAAGAGATTCTAAAACGAGTATTATTGTTCACATTCGCGCCTGTCATAAGTCGCATATAAATATTACGAAGTGTCAAATGTCCCTAAAGTATTTTCTCCACAGAGGCTAAGAATCTGAAACCTGCATTTTGATGAGGCAAATTTGTCAGTGTCATACACCCTCTTCATCAAATAAAACAATGCATTTATATAGTATTTTAAACCGATTATTATCCAGGGACTTCGTGAGAATGTCCGCCAATTGATCACATGTTCCGATAGGTTCTATCTTGATAATTTCTTTATTGATGGAATCACGTATAAAATTAAGCTTGATACGAAATCTGCTTTGATTTTTTGTCTTCATAAATAGTCACAAGGTAATTTTAAATGATGTTTAAGTCTTGAAGTAGACCACGCATCCCGATAGCTTCTGAAACGGTTGAACTTAACGCGACATATTCAGATTTACTTGATGACGTAGCCACAGTCTGCTGCTTTCTACTTCACCAGGATACGAAATATCTGTAAACTTTAAATAAGTAACAACTTACAGACTTTCGATCAACTTCATCACTGGCCTAATGTGTCTGAAAATCCTAAAAAGGGATGCTCATCATTATTCTTTTGATAATTCAATTCTGTTTTTAACGTTCCTTTAAGATATCTTAAAACCATTTTGTCTGCTTGTCATATTTCCGATTAGCTATCTGTAAGGCTTAAGGTGAGAATGCATAAATCGCTTTTTTGACTAGCTTAAGTCATCGGCTGTCTTCTTCCAAAAAGAACAAAGAAGTGTAAGGCCAAAATCGAACTAAGTCAACCTGAGACTCCTTTTGTCCTCTACGAAGAAGACAGCCGATGAGTTAAGCCAGTCAAAACAAAAAAAAAACGTTTTTTGTATTCTCACCTTTAACGCATAGGTTTTTATCTTATCTTTATCTTTTTAACATGTAGCTTCGAATCCTTGTCCATTGACGTTTTTACGGGGGTACAATCCTGCATAGAGAATTTGTTCAGCACTCGGGACAGATTTCCTTCTTGCGATAGCATTATTTTTGATGGACCTTCGGAAATAAACAAAGAAGCCTACGGCCAACCAATAATCATAACTAAATAGATTTTTAAAGATGACTTGCTTCCTGAAACTCCGCCAGAAATGTGTATAAAATTTCCTTCTTTAACTCGCCATTCAAGAACGCTGTTTTTATTTCACTTGATATAGCGACAAACCTTCATTGATTGCAATGGCTAATAACACATGTGCAGTAGAAAGTTTGTCAAACTTCATTGTAATCCACACATGTCCTTTGCTGAAAACCTTTTACAACTAAGCGGAAAATCCACTTCGATTTAAATAATTTTTCTGTTAGGGACTCTTTTAATTTTTCCAAACATTGTTCAATGCCATGGATTTTAGTTCTTCGCTTATTGCTTGGATCCATAAATGCTCATGAGATCTACCAGCGATGACATAGAGGTTTTCTCTTTTATATGTGCCGAAACCCCCAATTTGAATCCGATCATCAATACCAACATCAGTTGTTCTCATCTCTGTATCGTTGCCGGGTGTTTGCGTAGCTGGCATGCTATAATTCTTGTTTTTAAAGGATTCTTTATGTTCATACATTCTTTAAATGGAGAACAAGTCTCATCGAATTTCAAATCTCTTAAGGTGACTATCTTGTTTTCCTTCATCACTTTAGGGTTCCATAATTTATATATACATTTGGAACATACCCCAACATAACTAGCCTTTGACTTCGAATCGAGTATCATACGATTTTGGGTTGGCCACCCCGTTGTTTGAGGGGCATAAGCAATTTATACTTCTACTTAAATTCCTTTCATGGTATATCACTTCCTTTGCTCAGATGAACTGTATACCACGGTTAGTCTTGAAATCTTCAATCATTGGCTTCATATTCCACAAATTGTTAGAAAATTTCAGACTTATGTATACAGCAAGGTGTGTATAGTCGTCTGTGATTGATACGATATACTTGAAACCATTCCAAGCTACAAGATCGATAGGTCCACATGCAACAGAGCGAATTCACGACACTGTTTACACTCAATACAAATGTCACAAAAAACTTTTTTTTGGAGGGAGGGGGTTTCAAACAATACCCAACACCATGTGTTTATTTACCAGTTCATTAAAGGAGCTTGAGCCAATATTTCCATAAAAATCTGGCACAAAAGCCACAGTTGGTTCTTTCCAACCGCTTGCTCACGATCGGATACATTGAAACTAACCTTATATAAATTTCCGCGTAAGTATGCTCTTCCTATGTGTTCTATTCCTTTCATTATATACGTCTTTTCTTTGACCAATCGTACTTTAATACCAGCTTATGTCTTTTTTCACAAGTAGCAGATTATTACTGAAATTTGGTACATATAAAACATCCGTCAATACAATGCCACAATCGTTGTTTTTCCTACCTTTGATTATGCCTTTGTGGTTGCAACTAAAAATTGATAGTCTTTAGCTATTCTTATCTCCACGGGAGTATTCGACATCGTTATTGAATCGAAGTACAGTTTCAAGTTCACCAAACGGTCGTTTGCACTAGCTTAAATGTTATGCAAGACTACTAGCGTTGGTATAACCTGCATCTGCTATAAAATAAACTGATTTGTTATTTTCCTTCTGTGTGAATTTACACCTTTTCGTGGCACTTCTCACATCACTCTGACGACAGTAAATTGCTTTATGTCACTCCAACCTCAGTCCCGGCCATTTTAAGATACCTTATTAAATTATCAAATTTCAGTAGGTGTTTCGATACAGGTTCTCCTTCCAATAAACATGATCTGTTTTCTTGTCAGAACTTGATTTGTTATGGATTTCATTGCAAACACCTTTTTAAGACTGTCTCACATTTATATATCTCTTCTCTCTAGTGTAACCAAGACAATCATTGCTTACAAACGACACCAATTTGCTTTTCTGTCCCTTGTTTTTCTCTCCTTTTCCAAAAATTCTTGCTTTTCGGCATTTTCCGTTGAATAATAGCCCGTTAAAGCATCCTCTAGACACCAATTTGCTTTTCTGTCCCTTGTTTTTCTCTCCTTTTCCAAAAATTCTTGCTTTTCGGCATTTTCCGTTGAATAATAGCCCGTTAAAGCATCCTCTAGATTTACAATTTTTAAAAATGAATACGAACCCGAAATTCAATGAGCTCTATCTAAATTTGAACCGATTCTCAACAATTTTAATATTGTTCGTCCTTGGGCCAAACAAAAAATCCTATAAATTTCTAAATCAATGTTCATCACCAAAGATATTTGTTTTTATTTTTGGCAAGAATATCCGAAGACAAAAGCCAAGGGAACTTTTTATTCTTCAATATAACATTTTTAGAAAATACAACATACTTCATGAAGAAGTGTGTTTGAAAATCTGCAGCAGTTTATCAACAAAAAGTATTTTTAAAAATCCACGACAATCTTATAAAAATGAATTGAAGAATATGTTCAAAATATTTACCATCGAATCATGGTACAATTATTAGAAGATACATGGCTTATATATGGTCGGTTAGTTAGCTCACCTGACAACGAAGTTTGCTGTCAGAATGTAAATTGGGATTTGAAATTCAGTCAGTCATCAAATCAGTACTAATTTTAATGCCGAATTGTTTTATTGCTTAATTTTATAGAAAAATTGTGGTGAAAAGTAGACATTTTGTCCGATCAACATAGCACATTTTAAAAGTAAAACTATAGCGTTGGAAATAATATATAATACATTAAATTATAATAGTGTCATTATATTACATTTTTGTTTAATTTCTTATTAACAAAACTTACCACTTACTAATATGAATGGAAGAGACGCAGAGGACGAGACTGAGAAAGAACCCAATTGAAGAAGACTTTTAACTATGGGCGGAAATTGAACTAAGTCAACCTAAAGTTGCTTTGTTCTTTTACGAAGAAGCCAATGACTTAAGCCTGTCAAAAAACGTTTTATGTATTCTCAGATTTATTGCATTGGAATACTCCTTTCTGTTGGTTTCATTTTACACACACACACACACTCACTATTAATTCTATTCTATTGCGTAAACACCAAATAAATCCTCACAAGGGAGTCTAACCCAGCAAAAAGCTTTGATGTAATCTTATATTTTGCATGTAGCACTTTACATCTTTATTTATTATTTATTTTTTTTAAATGCATTTCTAATCAATTTTTATCTGATTTTTTGAGAAAAAAGAAATCAAAACAATATAAAATATGCGCACTTTTACTATTGACCGACAAAAATAACGGATTTTTTCTTTCTCTCACACACTATAACACATATATGAAACAGGCCATTTCTAATGCATATTAATTTGTATTTTTGAGACAACCATCTCACAAAACCACAATAAAAAATACACACACTCTTACAACTTGAAGGAAAAAAAGATAACGGAAAGAACGAGTGGACACAAATTGCTATACACACACGCACACGCGAATGCAGGCGCATAAACTACCAACGCATTGAGAAAAAATTTCGCAATTATCTTCCATTTTAGTATTGCACTCAAACTATTCGAATTCTTTTAGAATATTTCAATTTCGTTTATTATTTTTGTGCAACTTAACGTTAACAAATTTGGCAATTTATGACACTAGGCGACCGCATCTGTTTTGCGTAATTCCAAACTTTAAAACTGCGACGGAAGAACTAAACTTCGGGAAGCGGAAAATGTTGTTAACTCGATCGTCTCAGAAAAACGATCAAAAGGAGTGAAAGAGATGCCTGGTGCATACTAAATATTAGGGTTTTGTAGTTATCAGGGTTGTCGCATTAAATAATTTAAAAAACGGTGGAAACGAAAGAAAAATATTTTGAAATATAGTTAGAGTATGATCAGTGCAGTAGTAGATTCTCGCTGGTTCTAGGACTGGACAATAATATTAAAAATAATTAATCCTCTTCTCCAGTACCTGCAATAATCTACTATTTTTGCCATTTTTCTCGATAAAGGACGTAATAACAAAACTTTATACCAAAAAACCAAAACCATTCGCATGGTGTGTACGAAAATATATTTAATACCATGGCTCAAAATGAAAAGTTGCTCAACTTCAAGGAAACTAGAAAAAACAACTCTGTAACGGAGCCTTATAGTGTCAAGAAACTTTTAAATATGCAACATTTGGGTTTTATTTTTGATTTTTTTACAAAATTCTTATATTCGGGAAAACCCAATTTGTTACACATTTATATCAAAAATTTGCATTTATTTTGCAAACAGATTTGAAATAATTTCAAATTATTTTATTTTTGTTTCAAAAAAATACACACTTATACACAAAATGTGTATATGTTTTGACAGAATAAGGGCATCATAAGAAAAAAAATGGTTTAGGGGTAGCTTTGTTCTACCTTCAGTTATTTTGCCATGTTTAATATATTATACGTTTAATAAAAATCAAGTTTATTTATGGAACAGTTGAAAAAAAATGCCAGGTAACATCTACCTATATTCTTCTACCATGCGACTACCTATATTCTTCTACAATGGTCAATACTAATGTCGTACAAATGCTGTACACAGTGATGCTTTTCGTTAGTCTGTAGACTCCACAACGGATTTAAATTAAATCCGGTCATGAGATATATTTTTGTACAGTAAATTCGGTTGAATAACTACGGATAAGGCTATAAATCCTGAAATAGATCTGAACGGGCAATTAGTAGAAATCCAATCAAATTCAATCCGCCGGTCAGGTGCAACATGTTTATTTAAGTTGCTCAAGCGAAACGAAAAAGTTGTGAGCAAACACGAATCGATTGTTCGTAACGGGAGCACCATCTATGAGGAATATTATCGGTTTGATACTTCCTTGTAATGTGAGTGATTAGATTTGTTTAAAACACAAGAGATCGAAATGGAGTTTTTTATGTATTAGACTTTGGTGATTTATTAAAAAAAACGAAATCACTAACTTATAATAAAGAAACGTATCAATGGTATTTAGTAAAACGGAAATGATTGAATATTTCGTTGATTTTACAATATCGGTTAAGATATTTTACACAAAACTTCGACCTTCTCGTTTACCAGATATGGTGGAAGAATACACTCGGTTACACTCTCAAATGTCCTTCCATTTTAAATATTGTAAAAGTCAAAGTCAAACTGGTGGAAGAATACACTCGGTTACACTCTCAAATGTCCTTCCATTTTAAATATTGTAAAAGTCAAACTAAACTGTGCCGACATGATTGAATGGTTGAATAAACCATTATGCTGCACAAACTCGATTGAAAGAAACAAATCAAATTGCAAAACTAGTAGATTCTCGCAGGTTCAGGAACAAAGCATTCAATTCGCCTATTCAATCAACTCACGTCAAAATTTGTCTACATTTTGCTTAAAGTTTGTTTAAATTTCGTATTGTGATTCTATTCACAATAAGTGAGAGATTTTGCATGTAAACGTACTGTATCATGCCCTGAAGACAATGTGTTCTAACGATAGATTTGGCAATCCTGTTGTAACGGGCTGTTTTTAGGGACGTATAAGCCGTTTTAATATATCTAATTTTGTATTGGAACGATGCGATTTTTCTATAATAACTCGCACTACTCTCCTGACATAAACGTATTCATAAATACTTCAAAATGCAGAAGCAGACTACATCGCACATTATATCAAACGTTCATAGTGTACAAATAAACTATAAATTATCCAACGAAACTATCGGAACTACCACAAAAAGTTGGCAACAATATAATCGATTGTCTGATTTCTAACCAACGAGAAAGTCGACTTTTCATTTTATCGATAGTTGAAAGTGGACAAAAAATTTGTTTTTTTTTCTCTCAGTTTAGTTATTATTTTGTACAATTGGCATAATCAATAAACAGCAAGTGGTGTTTTCGCGATATAAAGGCGACGTCATTGTAATTACATATGTAGTTGTTGGGGCTACTTGCTGATATTGGTTCACCTTGATAGGGGTAGTGGAAATATTACCATTTACTTCGTCTAACTTATCGGGCATATCCAACTTCACCCACTGACATTACATCAAAATGAAGAAGATTTTTTCTAAATTCGACAAAAATGAAAAGCTTGAGTCACATCACAACTCCACAAAGGAAGTAAATAGCTTTGTTGGGAAAGTGTTTACTGTTGGACGTGTCACGGTTACTATAGAGGATGTTCTGGCGGAAGGTAAGTGCATTTGATCCTATTTTACGATTCAATGCATTGTACAGACAACGCTAATCTGTACAATGGGTCATAATGTATTTTTTTAAAGCATGAAATCACTGCTTCCAAGTCATTTTAGCGTGTCACTCCAAAAGACACCCATAAATTCTGGACAATTAAATGATACGTATTTTCATATCATCACACACATTTATATGTGTGTTAGTAATGTTGTATGGGGCACTTAAGACCCAGGTATTATGCTGTTGTTCTGTAGATATCACAATTACAGCTGATTATGTAGGGCTTGTTTGGCGAATGAATGTATGACCAGATTGTAGCAATAACTCCAAGTGGTAAAGTTGCAATCAGAGTTCTGTCCATTTTCAAATAACATATTAATCATCAGATGTCCTAGATTTGCAGTTTTAGAAAGCTGGAATGTGAATAAATTGCCTTTAAACCTACATTCAATATTGTAAGAAAATTTTAGAAGATTTTTTTGCGAATAGTGTGTGTTACCAATTTTGTCTGTGACACTTAAGTCACAGACTTTAAAATTTTGTGGTTTAAGTATCAGAATTACAGCTGTATATGCAGAGCTTTACTGGCTGATGACTGGGTAAGTTACCCTAACCCTGTGTTTAAAAAAGGCAGTTCAGTTCATTTTTTACCAAAAGAACGTTGCTTGATCGAATGACATAGGCGACCAGCTAGTTGCTAGAATAATCACAAAACTTTGATGAACATTTTTCAAATCTTAAAACATCTTCAAACTCTAAAATAAGTACGTCGTGCCTGCCGTGTTAGAGACAGCAGCGGCCCTAATAGGTTTTTTTTAATGATGACGATATAAAATCATTTATATGTTGATACTGGGATGATTGGCATATTCCTTTGAAATTTTCTGTCTGCCTAATAACTTTGAGCTGTACTAACTCAATCCCACGACAAGCCTTTTTAGCCTTATTACATGACATTTTGCTGATGTTAGCCAAACTGATACTCCATAAAATATAAATAGTTGGAAAATTTCTTTGAATATAAGTTTTGAACAACGCTCTCTCACGAAGGAGATTCAAAAATTCAGCTGCCTTGATCGGCTGTAACCAGAGGTATTTCGGAGTGTGTGAGGTAGGTTAGACCGGGGAATTGAGAAAGTGCAGCGTATTGTGCGGACCTGTATCACACGTCGACCAGACGTTGTTGCTGTTATTGTAGCAGTAGTAAATGTGGATGTTTGTATTCTGCTAATCTGGTTCAAGCTTTAGGTTTTACAATTCGACTACCTTAACGGGCGTAGCACTTATATTCGCAGACCACATTGGGGCCGCATAGCTGATCACAGACCGACCTATGTAAGAGATCGACAAGGTCTCCTTGTCCGTACCCCAAGTGCTGCCAGCTAGCGCCTTAAGGACCTTGTTCATACTTTTCATCTTGTCGCAGATTGCTGCTGTCGCGGGCGACTTAAGCATGCTGTGGAATGTGACCCCTAGGATCTTGGGGTAGCTCGTGGTCGGTTTTATATTACTCTCGACCTGCAATGCAGTGGATGGTGGGTGGACTTCGAGAAAGGCATTCACAGTATACCGGTTGATGGCATCACTAACTGCTTCCGCATGTCTCGAATTTTATTTAAAGGTTGGGATGTGCTTTGTTCCTTTCTAAACCCGAATTGTTGTGGAGGAATTGTATTGTATAGCTTGATAATCAAAATGATTTTTATACCCTCCACCATTCTATGGATGGTATATTAACTTTGTCATTCCGTTTGTAACTCCTCGAAATACTCATGTCAGACCCAACAAAGTATATATATTCTTGATCAGCGTAAAATTCTAAAACGATATAGCGATGTCCGTCTGTCTATATGTCTGTTGTAATCACGCTATCTTTCGGATGAATTGAGATAGATGGCTAAAATTTTGCACACATGTTTATTTTACCAGTTGGTAGGTTAAGTTCGTAATTGGGTATTAGGTCCACGTTTTCATATAGCCCCCATATAACGGTACCTCCCGATATTCGGTATTTTAATGATTTTAGCGACATTATTCACCGAAATTGTTTCAAATTTGGTATTTAAAGTTCAAAATGGATACTACATCCTAAGACAGAAAATAGTCTGTGCAAGTCCACGTCTTCATATAGCCTCCATATAACGGTACCTCCCGATATTCGGTATTTTAATGAATTTATCGACATTATTGACCGGAATTGTTTCAAATTTGGTATTTGAAGTTCGAATTGGATACTTCACCCTAAGACAGAAAATTGTCTGTGCAGGTCCACGTCTTCGTATAGCCCCCATATAATGGTATCCCCCTATATTCGGTATTTTGATGATTTTAGCGACATTATTCACCGGAATTGTTTCAAATTTGGTATTTGAAGTTCGAATTGGATACTATACCCTAAGACAGAAAATTGTCTATGCTGGTTCAGGTCTTCGTATAGGCCTCATATATCAGTACATCCCTATATTCGGTATTTTGACGATTTTAGGTACAATACCCACCGAAATTGTTTGAGGTGTGGCTGTGTTGTGGAGGAATTGTATTGTATAGCTTGATAATCAAAATGATTTTTATACCCTCCACCATACTATGGAGGGTATATTAACTTTGTCATTCCGTTTGTAACTCCTCGAAATACTCATGTCAGACCCAACAAAGTATATATATTCTTGATCAGCGTAAAATTCTAAAACGATCTAGCCATGTCCGTCTGTCTGTTTAATTTAATGATTTTAGCGACATTATTCACCGGAATTGTTTCAAATTTGGTATTTAAAGTTCGAAATGGATACTACACCCTAAGACAGAAAATTGTCTGTGCAAGTCCATGTCCACGTCTTCATATAGCCTCCATTTGTAATGATTTTAGCGACATTATTCACCGGAATTGTTTCAAATTTGGTATTTAAAGTTCGAAATGGATACTACATCCTAAGACAGAAAATTGTCTGTGCAAGTCCACGCCTCCATATGACGGTACCTCCCGATATTCGGTATTTTAATGAATTTAGCGACATTATTCACCGGAATTGTTTCAAATTTGGTATTTGAAGTTCGAATTGGATACTACACCCTAAGACAGAAAATTGTCTGTGCAGGAAGATAAATCAAGATCGTTGGTTCATTACAGAAATAATTTTTTTAATTACTACAATCATAATCTTTTGTTGCGTGTGCCGACACTTTTGCGTCACTTCCATTAGGTAAAAAAGTAAAGTGATATTTTCCGCTCGCAGGATTACGAAACAAAAACACGTCCTATAATCTGAACATCGGTTTTGTTTCGTGTCGTATTATACAGAGTGGGATAAAAAAGCTGCAGCAAAGTCAAACGTATTAATTTTTATTTTTTTAATCTTTATTGAATGAAGGCAAAAAATGTTGGAAATAGCATCAAATTTTAGAGTAAGTTGAGATTCGTTTGAATTGGTCACCTTTGCCACGAATTATGGCCATCAAACGGCCAATGAAACCGGCACACGCTGCCCGAATGTTGCTCTGCGTTATTTTGGGCAATACCCGGAGATGCGCTTGCTTGAGGTGATCGACACTTTGGTATTTTTAGTGCCAAGCTTGCTTTCCAAAATACTCCAGACAAAATAGTCCAACGGATTGGTATCCGGAGACTTTGGTGACCATTGTGCGATGGAAATGAAGAAAGGAACCTCATTTTGTAACCATTCCTGGGTGGCGCGTGCTGAGTCTTGTTGGAATGTCCAAGGTCTGTGGCCAAAATGTTTGTGTGCCCAAGGCTTTAATACACCCTCCAGAATATTTTCGCGGTAACATTCGGCGTTTATTCTGATGCCACGGTCGATTAATACGAGCGGAGAGCGACCATCGGCTGTTATGGCGACCCACACCATGACAATGGCCGGCGCTTAAGTTTTGGTGGCAGACCGAAGGTGCACATTTTCAGCTGACCTCTTTGGCAAGTAAACACGATCGTTTTGTTTGTTTAAAAAACTGCTGAACAACGAATGTTTTCTCATCGGAGAAAACCAAATTTCGCAGTTCACAACCTTCGGCCAAGCGAAGCAACTCTTTAGCTCTATTGAGTTTATTTTCTTTCTTTTGCGGTGTAGGTTCTTGCAGTTTTTGGAATTTCAATGGCTTATCCCGAGCTCATTTTTCAATATTTGCCGAATGGAATGTTGCGATATGTTCAGCTCACGAGCCATTTTTCGGCTACTGCGACGGGGGTTTCGATCAAGTCGCTTCTTTACTTTTCGAACCATTTCTGCGGATGTTACTGTTTTCTTCCGTCCACTTCCTTGATGTCGGTCTACGCTACCAGTATCATGGTCACGAGCGATGGTACGAGACACGAAAGATTTATTCACATTTAAATGCTGGAGTGCTCTAACGATAGCCACTTGTGATTTTCCAGCCAAATATAAAGAAATCACACTATCACGCTTGAATTTCATCACGAATAACCTTTTTTCTGAAAATTCTCATCAAAATGTTTTGGTACGCTCGTAAACAATATAATGAGCTGTCACTGGAATAATTTTTACAGCTGTCGAACGAGTAGCTTAGAAATGACAGCAGTCTGAAGTTGGTTGTAGTTTTTTATCTCACCCTGTATTTATACCCTACACCACAAGGTGGTGAGGGTATTATGATTTTGTGCATTTGTTTGTAACAGTCAAAAGGAAGCAAGATATGATCTGCATAGAATCACATTCTGAGTCGATTTATGCATGTCCCTCCGTCTGTCTATATACTTTTGTAAACAAAGTACAGGTCGCATTTTATTTATTTATTTATTTATTTTCAATTTGTACAGAAACCTAGCCGACAGGGCCATGGACGGTTCAAAAAACTTCTATACATGACTAGTCTAAATTAATTATAATATCCTTAATCCTAAAAGACTTACTTAAAATTAAACACTAAAACAAATTAACAAAAAATGAACAAAATTAACAATTGATTGATGGTTCCAAGAACTCCTATACATGACTACTCTAAACTATTCATAACATCCTTAATCTT